GTGTCTGCACTGCCACCACCAGACACAGCCCTGCTGCAAGGTCACCCCAGCCCCTCCACCCACCAGCAGGGGCATCAGATGGGGTGGGCAGGTGGTGTCTCCAAGGAGACCAGCCTAGGGCCCCCACAGGCTGGGTGCAGTCAGCTGGGCTGATGGGATGGCACTGCAGGCAGGCAGGGAGCAGAGTCCAGGAGTGGGATGGGTAGGCAGGGCAGGGGTGGTATCCAGGAGTGGGACAGGTGGGTGGGACCAGACCCAGTGCCAGTTGCGGGTATGTGTGGGGAGTGGATCATGGCTCTGCCCAGGGCCTTGGTCCCATGCTGTTACCACCCTGCAATCCTGGCCCAGGCTCTGGTCCCACCCACCTGTCCCACTCCCAGACACCACCCCCACCTGCCTGTGGCCCCATCCTGTCCACCCAGCTGAGCGCATGGTGTCTGTGCATGTCCCAGGCTGGTCTCAATGGAGATCCTGCCCATTCACTCCATCCGTGGTAGGTTTCTTCTGTTCCATCCCCCAAACTCAGTTCCTCGTATTGCTTTTCTTTTCAGCAAAGTTTTAACTAAACCAACAATTGACTCTCTAGCTGTCAATATTGCATTTTCTAACAGAAACTGCACAAACCGTTTTTAAACTAACAAGCTGCATTTTTTAAATGTTTAGCTTCTCTGTTCTTCATTGTAGCTTCCTTTATTTTTACATGGTTTAACTTTAGGTAGACTATAAATTTTTCCAGCAGGATATTTTTTTTTTTTTTTTTTTTTTTTTTTTTTTTTTTCTTTTTTTTTTTATTGGTTTATTTTTTTTTGGAAAAAAAATTTTTTTTCCGGGAATTTTTTTTTTTTTTTTTTTTTTTTTATGATTCTTGTTTTTACAGCATCTCTCACAAAGGATGCTAAAAATAAATTATAGATGCTATGTATACTTAATCTTTAACTGAAATGTAATGGCCTATTTGACACAGTATTTTGCTGCAATGTGTTCTTAAGATTAATTATATAATGCTTATGTATCTATCCAGTTGAGGTCTTTGCTTACACAAGCATAATATTAATATTCACCAGTACTATTACTCATTTTTCCTTTCATCCACTTTAATTAACTTGCAATTTAATTGTGTTCCTTTGTTGGATGAGCCAGTAAATAGGAGCACCATTCATTACCTCTTTTTCTGAGAAGGGGTGACTCAAGTGTAGTGCAAATCATGTAGTATGATCTGATTAAATGATTTTAGCTTGATAAATGGACACCCATAAGGCATTTACAACTTCCGAGAGGTTGAATTAATAATCTTCAATATACTTCACCTGGTTCATAATTTGTAACTTCTTTGTGTTGTTTTATAATCATTTCCCTATTATAGCATTGTCAGTTGTTAGAATACTCTCAGGAAAGGAAGCCAATATAGTTTCTTGTAATGGAAGTAATGAGACAGCTGTCTTTGTGGCTAATCATCATGTGCAGGAGAACCTTCCATCAGCTGTAAATGGCAGACAAGGTTATTTGGGCTATCCGATATCTTTTATTAGCCCAACTTAAATTGGTCTAATAAAAGATACCAGATTCACCCAAAGGACCTCATCTGCCTTTGCCCCGAGACCAGCATGGCTACAACCTACACCCCTGTCAGGTATAAATGGAGTTCATGTTGTGCTGAAGCCGGTGTTACATTCATCAGGGCAAGGTGATACACAGCTGATTCCACACTTGCTAGTTAATTAGGTAGAGACTTCATTGTACGTTTCTTAGTGGGTATAAGCCTACTAAAATATCCTTCCCTGTGACTGGTTCTCTAGCGGTTAAGACAGTTTACGCCACCAGAAATACATAAATCATGCATCATGGGAGATGTAATCTGTCCAGATCAGAGAGGATAAACTGGGTATGATGCATCACATATCAACTCCCATGAGGCATATTAGACTTGGCAGAATTAGGTGTTTATTTTTTAAATAATTTTCATGACTACAATGTTTATTTTTAAGCATTTATTTAAATTTTTGTTGATTTAAATTAAATTAACAGCATAAAGATCTTCCATTCTCTGCAGCTGAGTTGTCCCACTCAGACGTCAGGAACTCCCTTCCACTGCTTCCCAGGTCTTCTTCCAGAGCTGCCCCTTCTAGCCTAACTCAAATACTCTTCCCTACTTTAGGTAGGGATTTAAGTATTTTGTTCTCTCCCCCTAGCCCACTTCCCAGCACCTCTGAATGAGCAGCTAATTGCTTAGTTGAGTCATTAGGCCACCTGCTGTTTTCGTTTTTAAAGAGACAGGGCCTCTATACTCTGGCCTGCAAATCCCTTTTTCATCAGTCTCTGAGAGTGAGGTGAAGTCAATGTTTATCAAAGTTTACCAATAAAAAAATTGAATTCTGCCAAGCCTAGGCATAGTGGGTTTTTCAAAGAAAAATATTTGGTTTAAAAACAACATCTTCAACTTTAATTTTTCCTTATTTGGCCAAAAATCCTCAGTTTTAAGTTTTCCACCCAAAAGGTAAAAATCCCCATTGTCTGACCAGCTGTAGTTAGTTAGGAAGATAATGGCAGAAGATATGGAATTGAAAATATATAGAACAATAATTCAAAATATTTATTTTAGTTTCCTTTCTCTCAAAAGGAAATGTGTAATATATAATTCTATTACAATACTTCAGGTAAATCTGATATCTTTATTAGACCAACTCAAATAGTTGGGAAAAAACCTTTGCAAGCTTTCAGGCACAGACACCCAAAAACTTGCAAATAATTTTTTCCAACTATTTGAGTTGGTCTAATAAAAGATATCAGACTTACCCAAAGAACCTTGTCTGCCTATGTCCTTAGACCGACACAGCTACAACCTGTACCCCTATTACAATACTTTGCAGTTTTTGACAGATGAGACCTCTGTTTTACAAGTAAAGAAACTGAGGTTCAGAGCCAAAATAAGTTTCCCAAAATCACACATAATGTCTGGGAATAGAAACTAGACCTAATATTTCTTCTGTTTCTACAAGTGCTATTAACTTGAAATAGGCTAACTGAGCAGTAAGAATACTGCACAGTAAGCCTACCGGGGAGCATTTTTACATGTGCTTTCTCATGGGAACGGATTTGCTTCCACCCTGCTCTGTCCCCTACAGCAGTCAGAGGCAGTTCCAGGCTTGCCCTGGGTGCTAGCTCAGGGACTGGCAGGGAATAAAGAGCCAGTTCCTATGCACATGGGGCCAGAAGACAGCTGTCTCCTGGACCCATACACAGTGGGAGGGGTCCTGATGTGCATGGGGTGGGAGAGCTGCTGTTGCAGAGCTCTCCTGCACTGTGCACATGGGAACAAGCCTCATGACCAGCGGGGCTTCCCCACATAGCCCAGGGTTGGCTGGAACCTGCCCCTCCCCCACAGTTCTTTCCCAGCTCTGATTGAGTAATTGGGGCATGGGGATATGAAATAGTTGTGGGGGAGGGGCAGGTCCCAGCCCCTGGCCCTGACAGCGGGGCAGCTAGCAGTGAGCCCCTAGCTGGGTGGAGAGTCCCTGCTGAGCTGGAGGTGGCTGGGAGCTGTCCAACCAGTGGAGAAGTAGCAGCGTGCTCCTGGCTGGGTGGGGATTCTGTGCCCAGTCCCGGGTGGCTGGGAGCTGTCCCACTGATAAGGCACCTAGCAGCCTGGGAGAGGAGTCCCACAGCACTGGGACACCAGGGTAGAGAGGGACCCAGTCCCTGTACGGACTGACTCTTGGGGGAGCCAGGAGCTGAGCAGCACCAGGACCAGACTCCCTGCTGGTTTGGCTGACCAGGAGCAAATTTACTCCTGGTCAGTGTCTACACAAGACCTACTGTGCAGTATGTACTGCGAAGTTAGTTTACTACCTGTATCTATAGTTTACTGTGCAGTAGCTATAGACTAGTTTACTATAGACTAATTTACTGTGCAGTAGTGTATTAGCATGGTTATTTAGTGATGCTTTACTATGCAGTAGATTAGTCTACTGCACAGTAAAGCATCTCATGTAGACTTACTGGGCATGTCTACACATGTGCCGTAATGAGCAGTAGACTATTTTACGGAGCATTAAAGTGTCATGTAAAAAACCATGACATTATGCTAGTGCACAGTAAAATAGTCTACTGTGCATTAAGCATCACTAAAAAAGCACGTGCTACTGCACATTAGGGCAGCCTAATGCTCATTAATTTAGTACCTCACACTGGAGGTACTAAATTTAATCTGCATTAGAAAAGGCACATCAATATAGATATAGACATGTCCTGTGGGTGCATCTACACATGCCCCTATGGCGCCATTGTGACTGCACCATCATTTAGTTACTTCCTTAACAGCCTATACTGCGCCGTGCTGGTAGCGCATGGTTATTTTTAGCCAGTATGTCACTGTAGCCACACACTATACTGAGGGATTGTGTTGCTACAGTGGCATAGCTGCGGTGTAACAGTTTGTGCCCACCAACACTACATTGCCATAACGCATTGCTACGGTGACATAGTGTCACTAGTAGATGTGTAGTAGTAAAAAATAATGAATACGCTGTCCTCAATACCAATAACTATTTAAGATTTTGTGCTTAACTTTTTAGGATCAAGCCCTGTGTCACTCACTGACATAGTGAGAGCCAGGATTCAGTATCACAGGTAAACTGATACACACACAACTTGCATTGACTCAAGTGGAAACGTCCTACAAATTTTGCCTATACTTCAGCTAAGTGATAGTAGCCAATATGAACTGGCTGTCTCCTAAAACTGTGCTGCTGGTAATGTGCTTTGTATCTATAAAGTGTAGTTCCAGAGTAATACCAAGAGTAGGAATTCGTCTATGCAGGGGTGCTGCAAATTATGATGCAGTAGAAGCCATTCTAGTACTTTCTGGTGTGACTGAAATAGTTGCATGAAATTTGTTCCCTGCAGCTGAAAGCTTTGCTAACAGTTTACACAACCAAGTAGTAATTTGTTGTTATTTTTCATAAAAATATCAAGCAAAGTATAGAAAATATATTTACATAGCAAGTGGGGAAAACAACCACAACATTTCTGTTTTTAAGGCACCTGAACATTTCCTGGATGTAAATATTTCATACCAACATGATCGGACTTCTCTAGCGCTGATGGTGAGAAATGTGGATCTATTTGATAAGTTTTGATGGGTTAACCAAATATAGACCAGGAGAACTTACAGAAGAACTGCAGAATAACAACAAGTGAGTACTAAATAATAGATGTAGTTTACCAAAGAACATTGCCCTTATTTATACTGCTATGCAAACAATTGCTTAGGCCTGATTTCATCTTTTTATGAAAAGACTTCTGGTTATAATACTGACCTCCATAAATATCAGATTATAACCAGAGCTATTATTTGGGAACCCTAAGGAGAATGTAATTTTAGTCTCTTAGGTAGTTCATGAATGATAGTTTTCCATAGCCTCTCAGGTACTTCATGAGATCTGCTTTTCAGATCTCATGCTATTGCTACATCTTTTTGCCTCCTGACTTTCTCAAGCAGAATACTGCAAAAATAAATCAGTGTTTTTCCCACCAGTGGCCTCTGTATCCCTCTTATCCTTTTTATTTTTCAGTGGTGTTGGTCCATCTAAAAATGATACTTAGTATTTTCAACTACTTTCTACAAGTACTGTGCAGAAATCCAAGGGAGCAGGGAATGAAAGCACTGGTTCCCTGATAGCCTACCCAGGGGTAAGCTGCCGGGGAGTCCTGAAAAATTCCCTCACCCTGCCATTCAGCTGAAGAATTTCTCTTAGAAATTTCTGTAAAATGCCCATAGAAATGAACATTTGTCCATGGCCGACGTCTGAAAAGTTAAGTGACTTGCCCAAGTTCACAAAATGTACAAAAATGTACCATTAGCAATGTTTGAATAAGAATCAACCTGGCTTCAATCTCTGGGCTGATTCCTATCGATGACATGTCTTTACAGGGAAATCTATAAGTTAAAGTCAGGGACTCAAGTGAGTTATAAAAGTGTTACAGCAGGCTAATGCTGTTCCATCCTTTCAGCAATAGCTATAACTTGCAGAAGTTAGAGTTCTATGTTATAATCTATAGGGAATACAGTATCCTGAAATGTTTTCTGGGCTGAATATCCTTTTGAAAGACCTTGCTCCTATAATGGACTCATGACCTTAAAAAAAAAAAAATCACTTCAGTTCTCAAGAGTTCATTTACCCTATCTGTAGTAGTGGGATATTTCTCCATCTCTGCAAAGTTGTTTGGGATTCTCAAAATTAAAATTGTAATACAACTGTAAAATATTATTTCATGCACACAACTGTCAGTCAATATCAAGAAGAACCAGTAGGCACGTCCAGACATGTGAAGGTTTGGTTCCCTGGGGACAAGTAGCAGAGGTGCACCTTGTGATAGAACTGCACCTTGTTATCACCTTGTTATCACCTTTATCAGGGATTTTTGATCAGGGATTATCACCTATGCAGTTCTCTTGTGATAGAACTGTTTTTTTATCAGGGATAACCCTCTCCCAGTGCTACTGCTGCCCCCCTAGCACAGCTCAGCCCATCCCAGCCTCCCCCCTCCCCACCCCCAGCAAGAGGCCAGCACAGCCTTCAGCCCCAGCCCGCAACTGCAGCTCACCCCACTCAGGCCCAGGGGCACATGCCCCCACCCCCACCCCCTGTGTCCCCTGAAGGAAACTGGAAAGCTCCCACTAACTTCAGTGGACTCTGGAATAAACCACTATGTGTGCATCTACATGTGCCGTTAGGTGGCAGCAATAAACTGTAGACAGTATTGCTCCACAGTTTATTGCTCCTGGGAAGCTCCTAGGTGCATGGTTTACACATGTGCCTGGACCACAACTTATTGCCCTGAGTCAGAGTAGCTCTGGCTGGCAGGAGGCCCGGGTAGTCAGCCTGCCAGCCTGGGGCTGCTCTGACCTGCCAGCCTCGTGCCTCAGCCAGCTGGCTCAATGTCTACATGTGCACTTCTAAGCACAAAAAAACTCCGCAGCAGGGAAGGACTTGTAAATACATCTCAGCACCTACATGTATTTACTAGTCCTATCCTGCTGTGAAGTTGATTAGTTTTATGTGCCCTAATAGAAGTGCACATGTAGACACTGAGACATTTACTACGCAGTTCATTAGACAACTGCTTTGTAAACATCTCGTGTAGGTGCTCCTTGTATGTGGTACCCAATGCTACATCAGTTGAAGTCAATGTTAAATTGACTTCAGAGAGAATTCGCTGGAGCTATTATACCATAAGCACCTAAAATTCCCATTAGGGAAAAAAATGCAAAATGACATTTTCCATTTTCATATTCACAGATGTTTAGGTTTAGTTTGACATGCTGTACTTTGCTTTTTGTATACAATTCTCTAAATAGGAGCAATATCAAGGGAAAATATACTATTTCTATTATATAGATGTTTGCTAGTTTTTACCTAAGTTGTATAGCACATAACCTGGCAGAGTATTCTATATCTTGTAATAGTGATATAAAATAAAATAAAATGATTACATATTTTGTTCAGTTGGTATTTCACTAAGATAATTCGTTCCAAATGATAGTTAAAGTCTTATAACTTTCTGACAAGCTCAAAATTCATTAGGGTTTCTTGTTGCAGAAATGTAAGGTGAATCATTCTTTCACTTTTGTTGTCATACAAAGGTCCTTTCATTCAAAACACCTGCAGCTGCTGAGAAACAGAACAATCTGTCAGACCATCAGAAGCTGTGAGGTAAGGTGCTTCACAAAATAACCTCTCTCTCAATAGAACTGAGAAATAGAAGAGTTGAAATAAAGTTTCTTAAAGTTAAATTAAGAGGTTAATTTATTAAAAGGCAGAAAGTTTTTCTAAAATTAGCAGTGTACAAATGTGTTAAAATATTATAGGAAGAGTTTTTAAAACAGTTAACATACTTTAAAAAAGGTTTTATTGTAAAAATAAGTCATCACATTATTTTTCATATAAGAAATAGTAATGCAAGTTTTGATTAATTTATTAAGCACTTTTGTAAGGTATATAATAGAACAATGTGTTAATTGCATTTTCATAGAATTTTTTTCATAAAATGATAAGAATGTCAGTGTACAAGTTTTGTTATTTCATGGAAACAGAGTTTGATCAGATCTGGAACTAACTGCAGTAGGCATTTTAATAAATCTAAAAGTATTTTACTTTGCTGGGTTTTTGGTTATAGCCATGTTGGTCTAAGGACATAGGCCGGCAAGGTTCTATGGGCAGGTGAAGGGCGATTGTGCCCAAAAGCTTGCAAAGAACATTTTTCCAACTACTCAGTTGGTCTAATAAAAGACATCTCATCTACTTATGGAAATATTTTCACATTCAAATAATTTTAGTCAGTTTTATTCAATAAGCTGCAGTACAAAGACAAAATAGGGTGTCCCAGTGGTGCGTATGGTTAGAAATAAATATAAAAAACATTTTTTAAATAAATTTGCAATGAAAAGTATTTAATAGTAACTTTACAGTGTTTTGTTCATACAAGCACAACAGCATAAATAATATTCACTTGTAAAAATAGAATACATAGTTACTACAAAACTGATAGGAAAGTTTATACATATGGCTCAGGAACTGAGCACTTTGGAAAATGCAGTTAATATATTGAATATAATAGTTAGATTTCAGGTAGCACAACAGTTCTACAAATGCAAATACCTTAACTTGGTGTTTTCTTTTTAAATGCAAATCAAATTGTGGGAATACATTTATTTTGGCTTTCTAAGTATCTGCCAACAGACCAAAATGAAGCATTTTTATAAATAGACTTTATGCAAGTTAATAGGTTGAACTATACAAACATTCGGTGGAACACAGAAGTTTAGCGTTACTACCATGAACAGACTGGCAAAGGACAGCATCTGTTCCTGCTTAATGACTACCAGGCATATTGTGTTTAGACAGATGTCTGGCATTGAGTGCTAAGGTCAGAGATCCAATTGCAACAGAAAAGGCAAAGATACAATGACTAGAGTAATTACTTTTTAAAACATTTACGGTGTATTAAACCAGTGGGGGGCAACCTTTTGGCAGACATGCCACAAATTTGCCCCATGCCCTCTCTGAGTGCTACACTGATCCTACTCTGCTGCTCTACTTTCTGCTCCCTGCCCAATTTTCTGCTCTGCTTTCTGCCCGGTGCTCCTTACCTAATTTCCTGCTCTGCTTTCTGTTTCCTGCCCTATTAGCTGGTGTGCTGCCTGTCCCTTCCCTGATCTGCCATGTGCCATACACAGAGGCTGCCTGTGCCACAGGTTAGCTTCCCTGGCTTTAAACAACTAGTCAAGAAGTTACAGAGAATTTACATTTATAAATGATGTATTAAAAAGCAGGGATCATGTAAACTAGTTGGCTCATAAGAAATGTAATTAAATTATTAATTTATGATGCAGTAGATTGATAGTGAAATCTTTACCTTATTATAGTCAATGAGGCTAAGTACAGGCAGTCAAAAAGCCTGAGGCTGAATTGATTCCATCTTTGCAGGTTAGTCTAAAGTGCGTAGATTGAACTGAGAAGTAAGTGAACAGACATTCGCTTTTGATTCCAGAAATACAGCCACATACCCACAGTGGTTCAGGACAGAAGCTGGCAGTGCTAAAGCATGCCTCCCAGCCTGCCAGCACCACTGCCTAAGGGAAGGGAGGGGAGCTGGGAGAGAAGCCCCTCGAGGCTTCCCTCCTCCCTGCTCAAGTGGAGAGGGGGAGCATGGCCAGGCCCTGGCCAGATCACTGAGTATGATGGGGCAGGGTTTAAACCCCCACTCTGGCTGGCACCACCTCAGCCACACTTGGCTGGGGTCGGGGGCAGGAAGGAGACAGCCCCTGCCAGGCTTTTCCCTGCTCAAGCAGAAAGCAGGGGAGGGGTTATGGCCAGGGCCCAGGCCAGGCTGGCTCACTGAGACAGGGGTGCAGAGCGGGGTTTAAATTCCTTCCGTGGCCCACACGGGACCCCAGCTGGGGTCTGCCTGAGGAGAAGAAGGAATCAGCCCCTGCCAGGCTTCTTCCTGCTCCCCACTTGAGTTGGGAGTGTGGCCAAGCCCTGACCTGGGCTGGCATGCTGAGGCGGAGAGGGAGGTTAAGGGGTCTGGGACAGAAGTTCCATAAACGGGTTTGACCCAAATCAGTTCAGTATGATACTACATCCAACCAGGTTTATCTTAAACCTGTTTCAGCCATTTTGAAAGTGGTTTAAGTGCACTAAACTTCTGTTGTGTTACGGATTTAAGCCAGTTTCTGATCACTTAAACCAGTGTGTGTGTAACTTCTGTCCCTATCCCGAGAGTTTTGACACTGTTACCAGTGAAACTAGTCCAATATTCATTAACTTAAGCAAATATGTCTCTAATATACCATGATCAATATGTAATATAGGATGGTTAATTAAGCTTTGAACCTCTATTTATAAATAAATTGATCTCCTTAGAGCCATCCCTATTCCAGGTACCCAAAGTGCTTTACAAAGCCAGTGAAGCAACGGTCCTATTCAGGCCTCACAAAAGTCATTGGCAAGGCTCGCATTAATTTCCATGTCCTTTGGATCAGAATGTAAATAACTGGTGATATCGTAAGACTCTTATTTATCACGTTCTGCAGCATCTCTCACAATGTTTTAGACTCAGAACTGATTTTGTTAAGAGACCATGTTGACCCCAGCACTAGGGTTATCCCTTTCTCTTTTAAAAAATTCCTGTATTTAGTATGCACCTGGAAAACCAGACAGGCAGGGACAACAATTTAATCACAAGGATAGCATTCTTCTCAGAACTAACCTGAATTGTCAGTAACATGTGCAAACCACCATTCTTTTATGGATTATAAACCTGTGACATTCTGATCCAAGGATGACAAGGATAACATCATAATCATGCTGACCCTTTTTAAATGCTTCATCCAACAAAGTGTCTTCTGTAGAATGTTGGAAGGTTGATTCTGAAGTTTGGGAGAGTAAATTCTGTTCCAAGGACCTTGGGAAAAAAATTCAGTTTATTTTACAGAGCTATGCCATGTGGTATTAAGTTGAATCAATATAGATTTCATCCTTTAAGTTTTGTTAACATTTGAACAACAGTTTTCCAGTTGCTCAAATTATGATCCTGAAATGATGAACTGCAAAATACTATTTGTGTATATGAAACCTAAGTGCATTCAACTAATTAAATGTGTGTGTTTTTTTTTCAGGTGCTTAAGAAATCTGAAGACAGTATGTCTGAAAATAACCAAGAGGAGGATAGCAGCAATGAAGGTAAAATCTAACCAAATTCAGATAAGGCTTACATTCAGGTGTGTTGAACCTAAAGGGACATCTTCAAGTTGAAATCTAACAAGTAATAAGATAAAAAGTGTATATAACTTTCAAGAATTATGCAACTGTCCAAGAGTCCACTGATCTCAAGTTGCAACAAGGGAGGTTTAGGTTGGATATTAGGAAAAACTGTCCACTAGGAGGGTGGTGAAGCACTGGAACAGGTTACCTAGAGCAGTGGTGGACTCTCCATCCTTGGAGGTTTTTAAGGCTTGCCTCGACAAAGCTTTGGCTGGGATAATCTAGTTGGGGATGGTCCTGCTTTGAGCAGGGGGTGGACTAGAAGACCTCCAGAGGTGCCTTCCAACTCTTATTTTGTACGATTTTAGCTCTTAGAAGTGGTGAATTAATTTCTCCATTATTTTAAAAGTTTGTCCCCTGAGAACTGGGCATTTGATGGTGGTTCGCCTGTACAGTCAGTAGATGTAAACAAACTGAAAGAGATACATGCTTATTTGCCCTCTAATGTTTTAGCCATTTGTAACAGTTTAGTTTGTAACACTGGTACAAACCACATGGAAATGATTTAAATTGTGCCACTGTAATTGTTAATTTCTATAGTGTACTTTTTAAAACGTACCTGCATTAATCCTATAGTAAATAGTATAATAAAAGAATGTATATAACTAACTGGTGTGCAAACTATTAAGATATATTGGCTAAAATGAGATTAGAATTTTTTAGGGCTTATATAAATTAAGAAAAATCACTGTTTCTAACTAGATAAAAAATACATGTTTTATAAGAACCTTAAATTCTTAAAAGGTGATTTGTATACAAGGGTAAAGTGCTAGGCACAAAACAAGTGCTAATAAAGATATGTTCATAGTAATTTTATTCAAGGTACATTCGCACTTGGCATATAAATAAATGCTATACTTAAAAACAAAAATAAACGTCTTTGTTTTACATTTTGGTCACTGACTTATGCTGCTTTCTATTATTTCAATGTATTGTTGCAGGGTGTGAAATTCTTGTAGCTTTTCAAAATGCAAATAAGATACTGAAAGAAATGAGCCAGTCATACAAAATTCTAGAAACAAACAAGTAAGTAATCTTCTTTATAGTACAGTCAGATAACTGAAATGTGTAAGAAAGCCTGAGTTAGACAATAAGCTCAAAATCAGTTGGTGTAAGCATGTTTTTATATTCTTACTTTTCTAATTTTGAAGAACCAGATGACAAAAACATCTGTCCAGGTCACAGAAGAGATGTTCTCTGGGGAGATCCTTTAGAAAAGAGTACATTCTGTAAAGCATGAATTGATATTTGGTGTTCCTAGATCCTTGTTAAATTTAAAAAAAATGTGCTAGATCTAGTCTGCTTTACAGTCTGCTTCCAGCAGCACACTCATTCTGCCATTCTCGTTCTGTCTGAACACATCTATGTCTGAAGTCTCTGCAGTGGAAGTTTCTGCCACTTTTGCGGGTAGTGACTCCACTGCTGAGTAGAGTAAGGCATCCATGCCTTCAGCGAGATGTCACTAGATATTTCACAAAGTGCATTTCACATGCTGGCAGTATGGCTTGTGAAGCAGAGTTGTGCAAAGCACCAAGGAGATGGTGTGTGTGCGTTCTAGCAGGTTGTTGTTGCCAGCTGCTGGTTGCTGCCAGAAATTGTGGTGGCAGAGGCAGCGAAGTGTAGATGCATCAGTACACACAACAAATGGGAACTGTGATATGGGAATACAGACAATGAGACAAATCAAGGGGCAATATGTCGGTTGTACGACTGAGGCAAGATGCATTCACTTCCAGGCTAGGTACAGACATTCAAAACGCCTGAGGTGGATTTGAACTAGCTTACGTGGGTTTCTCTAAACACCCAGCTCATGGTGGCATAGGGGTCCCTAGGCTTTGTCTGGGGTCAGGGCCCCGGTGTTTGCTCCATGCCAGACAGAGGCAAGGGGAGTGGGGCTCTTGAGCTGCTGGGGGGAGGCAGTATGAGCAGCCCACATTCCTGGCCCACATTGGCTGGGCACAGAGTGTCCCTCCCCTGTCTTGGCTCCATCTGAGCCACAGAACTGCATGCTGGAGCAGCTCCGGGAAGGGCTGCAAGGATTCTCCACGGCCCCAGAGCCAGCACTGAGTTCCCAACTGAAGCTGCTTTCCTGGAGTTGCAACGGCATGGCTGCCCCCTGCCCCAGGCCTGGAGCCCTGCAGCTGCAAGGGAAGCAGCTTTAGCCAGGAACACAGTGCTGTGGAAATCCTAGGAGCCCTTCCAAGAGCCACTCCAGCGCACAGTCCAGAGTCCCGGTTCAACCTGCATCCCAGGACCGAGACTGGCTTGTTACTTTTATAGCATACTGTGTGGCTCATCCTGTGTCACAGAACAGTATCTTATCCTCGTTAGACCAGATGACATGCAACACTGCTTTTTATCCTAGAGCAAAGTTCCTGTTTGGAGCAGTTTACAATCTGAAGAGTTACTTTGGTTTTGCCTTTCAGCCAGGTCCCATCAGTACCCAGACTATGGCCAGATGAACAATCAGCTTCTTTTCTGAAGAAAAGACAGCTGGAACTCAAGATGAGTCAGCAAAGTTCACTACCTTTCTTTTTGAAAAGAACAGGAAACTCAAGACATCCTCATGGTTTTGACTTCAGTTTTCTGGTGCAGGGACCCTGTTCTGGGTCTAACATGTCAAAGCCCCTCAGGGGACTAGATGCCCTTCAGGAGATAAATGCACAAATTCAGCAAAGTAAGTTTAGCAGTTAACTTTTACAGTACAGGTAACTACTGTTATAGTATAAACTAGACAAATGGTTAACTGGCAAGGCCTCAAAATCAGGTTTTTGTTTACATCTAAACTGCGATCCTTTCCCTATTTGCTTGCCTTTTATTCGTGTTCTACAGATTTCAGTTTTGCTGCCATTCCTCTGTGCGTGTCTGCATGTATGTTTAGGATTGACAGAGACATTAAGGAGCAATGATCACATCCCCCCAGCCCCCTTTTTTTTGGTTTAGTTATTGTAATAAATTCTTGGCTGGAATTTTATAGATTTCATAGACATTAAGGCTGGAAGGGACCTCAGAAGATCATCGAGTCCAGCCCCCTGCCCGAAGGGCAGGAAGTCAGCTGGGGTCATAGGATCCCAGCAACATCAGCATCCAATTTGCTCTTGCTCAAGGTGTTCAATGTAGGTGCTTGAACCACCTCCGATAGCAGGCTGTTCCAGACCTGTGGGGCTTGGACAGTGAAGAAATTCTTCCTTATGTCCAGCCTGAAACGGTCTTGTAGTAGTTTATGACCGTTCTACCTCGTCATCCCTTGGGGCCTCTGGTGAACAAATGTTCCCCCAGATACTGATAGTCACCCCTGATAAACTTATAGGTGGCCATTAGATCACCCCTGAGCCTGCGCTT